ATCCGTGTAGTTAACATAACGGAAACTACCTTTCTATGCAGTAAAAGTAACGAGAACAAGCTATTTATGTGGTAGTAGTAATGGGAACTAGCTATGTCTGTGGTAGTGGTAACGGGAACTAGCTATCTATGTGGTACTGGTTATGGGAACTAGCTACTTCTGTTGTTATGGTGAGACGGACTAGCTTCATTGTATGTCTGTGGTAGTGGTAACTGGAACTAGCTACATTGTATCTATGTGGTACTGGGAACTAGCTATTTCTGTTGTTATGGTCAGACGAACTACAGTTGTAGCTACATTGTATTAGACATATATGTGAGGCAGTGGTAATGAGATATAACTATATATATGGTGGTGGTGAAGAGTTCTAACAAGTTATGTGGTAACGGGAATTAGCTATCTATAACGTAGTGATTAAACACGGGAAGTGGTAGTGGCTACGGGAAAGCTTTGCCATCTTACATCATCCCTCTGTTGGCGAGATAAACATCAATACAGGCGTGAATGTTGTGTAGATAAACTAACCCATGAACAGTTTCTAATTGCAAATTGGCAATATATTAAACGTCGCGTACTGATGCAGACGGTTAAAACTGGCGTATACACGATTGAGCTGGTATACTTCACATGGTGCTTTACACATTTTGATCACAGGTGTCGCCATATATATCCGGGGGAGGGGAACTACACCTCTATTACTCCGTGACGTCCTCTGGGGGATAAAAAAAACTACAACCAGCCGTGAGTGTAAAACCATATGTCTGATCTCGTAAGTGAGACTTCCGGAAACTCAATTACAGGATATAATGTTCAGATGTACACGTGGTGTAGGTATGGCACATATCTCTTCAGATATCAAAACTGAAACAAATTGTGCAGCATATTGTATATATTAGTTCGTTATATCTTCTCTATTATATTGCAGACTCTCAATATTTCCTTCATTGATGTGTAAAGCACGATTGGAACATGCCTTAACAAAGAACATTGCTATATACCTTGTTTTAACCCCACCCTTCCTATGTAAGCATCACAATCAGAAACCCCACCCTTCCTACATGTATGTAAGCATCTCAATCAGAAATCTACAGCATTATCATGCACAACTGTCATCAAATGTCGACAAAACACCAAATGGTAAAATAGACGATTGATAACGTAGAAATTATATTACGATAGTGATAAGGAACACATCACAAAGATCTTTTTTCTAGATTTAAACATTTCTCGAGCTATGTAATACTATGTTCCTAACACTAATAACATAACATATATGTATGAATAAAACTATCAAGATCATAAACGTGTTTAATCTAGTTTAAAAAACATTAACTTAGGAAGAATATCACTTTAGTTCATTAAGCTTAAAAGAGAGATGTACGGTGTATGCACCAAATAGCCGACTGTTCAACAATGGAACTCTGGGTACTGTGAAATACACTGTCTGGCTGTGTATCAAAGCAATAGAAAATTAAATCATGACGGTGGCTAGGTTACCAGTTAATATTCCGCTAATGATACCATAAACTAAACAGATATCAAAGGAAGGGGTATGAAATATGACGAAAATCTTTAATTCTTAGTTTTATGAAAATTTAGTATTGGAAAGACTATAATTAACGGCGAATCAGAAGATTGAGAATGCACTCCGTGCCTTCTCTCTTGATGGGAAGTGCGTGTGGCATCTGGGACCGGAAATACTGCAAGTATGGTAAATTGAAACAAGAAATTGGATCAGCGAGTATTGTCTTCAAAGATCCGGAAAGTGATAAACGTAGCGTTATATTAATATTTGAAACACATTTATTCATTGACGGGCGTGTATAAACAAAAGAACTGGTACCGTGGTCAGCTATATGAAAGTTGTGGTAAGTATTAAACAGTTTCGTATGTAGATAAGCGTGTTTGGCCTCAGAAGAAAGTACATAAAACATTAATGTTCAATACGTGTAGATTTTCACGAAGAAACTTTGGAATGACAAGCGGCGTTTATCAATCAAAATGCACTCCCTGTTTTTTTTTTATATATACATTTAGTACACCACTCTCTAACGATAATATCCTATCATGGCTGATACCAGATTCCAAGCCTCGATCACAGAGCAATGAAAGTCCTGGTCGTGTGCCAGACTTCCGTCACGGTTACAAGTCCAATGGCCATTTGACCGATAGGGGTACATCACTAAATCTCATAGGTAGAGCGTGTCAAGTACAGTATGATAGCCGGGACCGCTGTTAACAGTGAAAAGTCATACACTAAGGTTCTGATCAAACGGTACAATACATTCCAAACTTGTCACAATGTTAACTTCGTTTATACTGACAGTCAAAGGGCTGTGCACAAACTTAAACAGACCGAAGACCACAGAAATGAGTAAATGTCATTTGCTTTAATTTCTAACCCCATTTTTCATGCTTACACTTTATGTGTTATTAATAAAAAGAGACAACGAAAATACGCTATAACTCTAGCTGTTAATAATAATAAACAGCGTTTAATCTATTACAGTGCGTTAGTGACAATGGGATTCCCCAACGTCTCTTTGTTTTGTTTTGTGTTGTTGCAAGTAACGTTATCAATGCGAGGATTCAATATTTCCCTGAAACCAGATCTCCAGGGGATGTTACGTTTTAATGTTTATAACTGAACGTGTTCACTGATTTTCTATTCCATCTGTATTAAAATCAGTGAACCCTTCAACTGAGACGTTTTTCTATTGATTCTCTGTTACCATGTCAACGTATTATGTTTGATGACTACCTGAAAATGGACCTCTAGGGACTCAGATCGCTATAACAATGGACTCTATATAGGAACTCAAGATCGCTATGACGATGGACCTCTATAGAGGAACTCGGATCGCTATAACGATGGATCTCTATATAGGAACTCGGATCGCTATAACGATGGACCTCTATATAGGAACTCGGATCGCTATAACAATGGACCTCTATATAGGAACTGGGATCGCTATAACGATGGACCTCTATATAGGAACGCGGATCGCTATAACGATGGACCTCTATATGGGAACTCGGATCGCTATAACGATGGACCTCTATTTAGGAACGTGGATCGCTATAACGATGGACCTCTATATAGGAACGCGGCTCGCTATAACGATGGACCTCTATATAGGAACGCGGACCGCTATAACGATGGACCTCTATATAGGAACGCGGACCGCTATAACGATGGACCTCTATATAGGAACGCGGCTCGCTATAACGATGGACCTCTATATAGGATCTCGGATCGCTATAACGATGGACCTCTATATAGGAACTCGTATCGCTATAACAATGGACCTCTATATAGGAACTCGGATCGCTATACCGATGGACCTCTATATAGGAACTCGGATCTCTATAACAATGGACCTCTATATAGGAACTCGGATCGCTGTAACGATGGACCTCTATATAGGAACTCGGATCGCTATAACGATGGATCTCTATCAAGGAACTCGGATCGCTATAACGATGGATCAACGATGGTCCTCTAGGGACTATAGGGATGGACCTCTAGGGACTCAGATCGATATAACTATGAACCTCTAGGGACTCAGATCGATATAACTATGAACCTCTAGGGACTATAGGGATGGACCTCTAGGGACTCAGATCGATATAACTATGAACCTCTAGGGACTAACCATGTAACGATGAACCTCTTGGGACTCAGATTGCTATAACGATGGACCTCTAGGGAATATAACGATGGACCTCAGGGGACTAAGACGATGGACATCTAGGGATTCAGATTGCTATAACGATGGACCTCTAGGGACACAGATTGCTAAAACGATGGAACTCTAGAGACTCAGATCGCTATAACGATGGACCTCTAGAGACTCAGATAGCTTTAACGATGGACCTCTAGGGACTCGGGTTGCTATAACGATGCCAGACCTGACGTTAAGCCGGGATGGCTAGTCGACCACTTTGCGCCTAGTTCGGATATATGTTTTACATACACTTGTGTTGTCTGTAGGCGATCGATATGTGGGATCACGGATGTCGTAATACACCAAGTACTACAGGCTACGTGTAGTGTCACTCAACACTTCCCTACTACAATTGTATCTCTCGTCTACCATCAGATTACATTTAGTTTTCATCTTTTCAGCCATTTATGTTATCTTTAAAAAATGTGGTGGCACGTATATAATATCATCATCAAATTCCAAAATTATTTTCAGTTTCAGTTAAGCATTCCAATCCTAGTATAAAAACTGGAGCCGTTTCCGGAACTTTATGTCTGGTCGAAAATCCTATTAACAAGCACAGCACTTTAGAGTAAACTCTCAGATACAATACATATTGAACTCTAGAATAACATGAGCACAAAATACTATTCATGAAATATTGATATATTTTCTGAGCAGCAAACATGAAAATTGATTTTCTGATATAGTATAAAATCAGTAAAACTCTACCGACATGACTGTTTAAATCACGCAAGCAACACAAGAATGTATACACAAATACGAAGAACAACAGTTCAAAAAAGACCATTTATAGCAAACTATGAACTTATCTTAGATAAACATGCCCCATGTAATATTGTATATATTTCAGTGTGATTATTTGCCTTTAAACTAAGCTGTAATTAAAAATGAGCATATACAGTCTTTGAATTTCAGAATTTTTATAAAAGACAACGGTTTGCTGACCAATAAACCATAATAAGAACTCCAAATGGTGAAATAATGATGTCTTATTTTCTGATTTTGAACCTGCGATTATGATAAAATAATAAATATATTTGTACAATAGAAAGAGTGGCAATGGCTGTCCTAGCATTTATTTTATTTAATTTTTATTTATTTAATTTTAATTTTAATAAAATGACAAAATACATTGCATGCAATGACATACATATTTTTAGTAAAAAACACATAATACAAATAAGATTATGTTAATAGTAAGTTCACAGTTTTAAACTGAAAATAAAGAGAGAGAAAAAATGTCATTAAAGAAAGTTTCAGTGTACTTACCGTATATTATTAATCCAAACAGAAGCACCAAAATATGCGCGATGTTATCGTACCTAGATGGTCCCATGCCTTTTCACAGTACAAGAGTTTGTCTGGCGAAAAGCACCTTACAACACACATTCTTCTGGGAAATGATGACCAGCTCGGTGACCGCTGACGGCTGGACTCCGATATCTGGAGCGCAAAGTTGTCACGGCCCCTACTCGAGGGACGATCATCACACCGGAAGGGAACCTCAAGAAAAATAAACAAATCAACACCACAGGTAAAATTCGTACAGGTGAAAGATAACACAATATTTCTAAAAATCCGACTCCAAATGGTATATCGTTGACGTGAATAAGATTAGCACAATTTAGGTAACTTTGCAGCACGTGTTGGTAGAGATGACAGGTGTTTCGGGGGAGACCTCCCCAGCAGGTAAGTTTCCGTGCGATCCCCGTCAAAGCCTCGACGGTGATGGGTTGGAGTATTATATAAGTTTTATGGTCACTATACAGTCGAGATAACCACTGTTAGCCCGATCAACCACTTAGCTAATTGGCGCTAAATTCCAATACGTGAATATAACTATGCACTATATGAAAATAATAAATTACTTATTTACCATTGAAAGAGACAATGAACGGGTGACAGAAAATATTCCTGGTGTAGGAGAATCCGAGAACAAATCAGTAGGACACCTCAACTTTATATAAAGTGTTTCGGAGCCATATATGATAATCACAGATCGGCAATGATTCCTGTTAGGCGAGCCAGCGTCTTCATTCATAAAGTGGCGGAATGCACGAGTCGCGAGCTACCTGTGCATTGTAAGAATGAATTTTTTGTTCAGCATCTGCGGTAACAGTGTGTATTGGACACAGCAAAACCATCGGGGCCTGTACCCAACACAATACCGACAAAATTGTATTCATTTAGATCCTTCAAAATCACTTGGACTACTGGCCTGATGCTGATCGGAAAGTGTATAGATTCCAATTGAAGTGAGGAGCGCGAGACGCCGGTAACAATAAGATGTATCCCCTGTCGCACGAGCAGACGACCGGCTGTCAGTGAGCAGGAGGGATGCAGCTACGATCGCGTGCATCTCATAGCATCACGCGCTCTCTGTTGGTGTGATCGGCGGACTCGTCTGCTTGCCATACTGTGGCTGATTCAATAGACACCGAGGCAGATCACCCGCATCAAGACGATGTTCCGATGTTCCACTCCTCAATGATGAGGTCTAGCCAGTCTACATCAGTCTCGCCTTCACAACTACACACTGAGAACCCCTACATACACACTGTACCGACACGTGTGCTGGTTGGAATCATAGGTATTATACGTTTCAAACTATACCTGTTTTTCTCTGAAACACAAAACAGGCCAAATTCATTGTACATTTTGTACACACACAACGACTACGTGCCCATCTTACGAATATTGGAGTTTGGTGGCATTTTATTTCAATATATACATAACCAAACGTTAAGATGTGAAAACATTCAAAATAGCAATTGTATTTATCAGTGCTAGGCAAGGTTGAATTTTTCACTTGATCGAAACGGCGATGAGTTCATAATTATGAAACACATATTTGAAAGATTAGTAGCGCGGTTATTCCTCGGGTTTAAAATCGTCATATCGGGGAGCAATTTTCATACCATAGGTATATAATGTACAGTAATGTTAACTGTACGCATATGAATGTTCTGATACAGGCAATGTTTACCTGTCTTTAATTAATTTAACTGATAATAACGATTACGTATGTAAATACACCGCAAGAAGCCCATGTTTTACAGATTAAAGGGTACGCACAGTTTACGTGTATTACATCATTTAAGAAGTGAATGAAGATTCATTACATGTGTATATGATTAACAATTAACAGCTTTGTGTGGAGTCGACAAGGTACGTTTTGATTAATTAACATGATGTGCACTTTATGTATCACCAGTCCTTCACCGGGTTATGTTCCCTTTCTTTTCTCTCAGCGTTACTGTCTCATCTACCTAATCTGTGATGCAAAATGAATTTTAATATTTAAACGAACTCGTTTTCAAACGCAGACATAGTCGGTCGGACCACGATGGGCTATACTGGACCTCCCCTCACTACCTGGCATGTGCTCACGCGCGGGATAATGGAGATGGCGAACCCTGGTGAACCGTTTCAAACTAAATGACGATCCCCTGGAAACATCATACCCTCGCCACTGTATACAGGCTTCTCTGTCGTGTTTCTGGTGTTCGTTTATGTGTTTGCTATTTTCAAAAAGAAATGATCGAATGTATTGTTTAGTTCGAATGTACATGTACTTTTCCTAATGTTGTAGTTTTATTCATTTGTGTTCATATTTCACACTCATTACCTTATTGTTAGAGTAAATTATTCATATTTGTGAAACAAATATAAAAAGAAATCAATTAAAACCGAAAAATAAGCCAAGTGAATATATTGTAATTAGTTTCAGCATGTGTTTTCAATTTTAACCGTATTCTTTTTACTGAAAGGTTAAGGGTGCGGTAACCCAAAATTCGTGGTGTGAGATCAAAACGTTGGCACGTCCCTCCGTCATTATATATTCCGTATACGGATCGTTTGGTGATGCCTCTCCCTCCCGCCCTACCCACAGGCCCCTGGCATGGCGCTAATCACACAGGATGAGCCTGACACAGACGGTACAGGTCAACCGTGTTGCTCCTCTCTACCACAGGTATAATGTACTAGGTGATTGAGGCTAAGTTGTGCAGGGTTGGGGGCGGAACAGGCTTAAATTTAGTTGCAGAAAATATATGTTAGTATATGTGGTAGTCCAGATGTAATATTTATTCATTTATAATTAAACAGAAATTGGACTTTTGTTTTCTCTTTTTTTTTTACGCAATAGTTCCGTGGTGCCTTTAACGGCTGCACTGTACAAACTCGTGCACTTCCGGAAAATTTCTCAAATTTTTAACAATATTCGGAATAAGTGTATGTATAAGAGCTATGATTGATAAAACAGAAATTGTGTATACATATAAGAAAATTAGGACAAGAATCTTCAGATTCGTCATACAACGAATGTGTCTTTAAGGCGTCTAACTACCTACGATCACTGGCCCTCAAACACTGGGTCGCGGGTTCGAGGCCTACTTGGGGCAGTCGACAGCCGCTGGCCATTGGTCAGTTGTTTTTCTCAGGGTACTCCGGTTTCCCTACACCATAAAAATCTGGCACATCCTTTTATGACCATAGATGTTAACAGGACGTAAAAACACAAATAAACCAAACCTTCACGCCTGTCATATAACAGAAAGTGTTCTTATACATAGACACTCAAAATCGTCTTATAACAGAAATTGTCCCTCCTTATTTGTCATTATGCAGAAAAAGGCTGTCCACACGTTCGCCCATCACGTCATTAACTTCGCTTACACTTCAGTCAGGTGAGCTAAAAATAATACTACGCGTCACTCACTGGTTTATATTTTACCTAGATTCCGATTTATATCTAGAGTATTCGATTTGAATTATATATTTCGTTTGACCCAGTTTTGCAGCACAGATGCTACAATGTAGTTTGTTCTAGTGAATCCTGCGCCGCTACATCATGATGTCTATTAACATAGTGATAGCGTTACCAGAGATTAAAAGTAAATAATATAAACTAAGTTTACATATCAATATTTTATATATTTTATATATTTTTCAAACCATCCGTCCGAAGAATTCTTTTAAACTCTTCTGTCTTCAGTCTGCTTTGTACGGTCAACTATCAATGGAATTCCGTCGTAGACGTCTGTCCTGTCAGTGGTATACTGTCAAACTGCCCATGGTATTTTGTCGTACACCTCTGTCCTGTCAGAGGTATACTGTCAAACTGTCAATGACATTTTGTCGTACACGTCTGTCCTGTCAGATGTATACTGTCAAACTGTCCATGGTATTTTGTCGTACACGCCTGTCCTGTCAGCGGTATACTGTCAAACTGTCAATGACATTTTGTCGTACACGTCTGTCCTGTCAGAGATATACTGTCAAACTATCCATGACATTTTGTCGTACATGTCTCTCCTGTCAGAGGTATACTACTGTCAAACTGTCCATGGTATTTTGTCATACAAGTCTGTCCTGTCAGAGGTATACTGTCAAACTATCCATGACATTTTGTCGTACTCGTCTGTCCTGTCAGTGGTATACTACTGTCAAACTGCCCATGATATTGTGTCGTACACGTCTGTCCTGTCAGAGGTATACTATGACATTTTGTCGTACACGTCTGTCCTGTCAGATGTATACTGTCAAACTGTCCATGACATTTTGTCGTCCACGTCTGTCCTGTCAGTGGTATACTACTGTCAAACTGCCCATGGTATTTTGTCGTACACGTCTGTCCTGTCAGAGGTATACTATGACATTTTGTCGTACACGTCTGTCCTGTCAGATGTATACTGTCAAACTGTCCATGACATTTTGTCGTTCACGTCTGTCCTGTCAGAGGGATACTGTCAAACTATCCATGACATTTTGTCGTACTCGTCTGTCCTGTCAGTGGTATACTACTGTCAAACTGCCCATGGTATTTTGTCGTACACGTCTGTCCTGTCAGATGTATACTGTCAAACTGTCCATGACATTTTGTCGTCCACGTCTGTCCTGTCAGTGGTATACTACTGTCAAACTGCCCATGATATTTTGTCGTACACCTCTGTCCTGTCAGAGGTATACTGTCAAACTGTCCATGGTATTTGTCGTACACGTCTGTCCTGTCAGAGGTATACTGTCAAATTGTCCATGGTATTTTGTCATACACGTCTGTCCTGTCAGAGGCATACTTTCAAACTGTCCATGGTATTTTGTCATACACGTCTGTCCTGTCAGAGGGATACTGTCAAACTATCCATGACATTTTGTCGTACTCGTCTGTCCTGTCAGTGGTATACTACTGTCAAACTGCCCATGGTATTTTGTCGTACACCTCTGTCCTGTCAGAGGTATACTGTCAAACTGTCCATCACATTTTGTCGTACACGTCTGTCCTGTCAGAGGTATCCTGTCAAACTATCCATGACATTTTGTCGTACACGTCTTTCCTGTCAGAGGTATACTGTCAAACTATCCATGACATTTTGTCGTACATGTCTCTCCTGTCAGAGGTATACTACTGTCAAACTGTCCTTGGTATTTTGTCATACACGTCTGTCCTGTCAGAGGTATACTTTCAAACTGTCCATGGTATTTTGTCATACACGTCTGTCCTG